AGGGTCTCAAAAAAAGGAAGGAAGGAAGGAAGGAAGGAAGGAAGGAAGGAAGGAAGGAAGGAAGGAGAAACTAAAAGCCATATGTGCTGACACATGCCTGTAATCTCAGAACTCAGAGTTAAGGTGGGAAGATGAGTTCAAGACCATCCTGGATTACATAGCAAGATCCTGTCTCAGAATGCCAAAGTGTGAGAAAGAACAGGAGCTAGAGTTTGGGGTAACTAAAAGTTGAGACATACAATCCTTGTTTGGACAGTTGGTGGCTCTAAGTATATATACTTCCTTCCACTTCCCTACATTTTCAAATATTTTATAGAAGAGTGTAGTTTCATATCCCATGAAGACTTAGCACAACTGAAACAAAAATCATGTGTACATTATTTCTCTTAATATTCCTTAACCTGGTGTAGCCTTCAGAAAGCCCAACAGTGACTTTAGAACACTCAGCATAAGTCTACAATATAGCCATTTTCCCTTGACCATAGAGATGGTTGCTGTTTCACCCAAGTGGAGCAATAGAGCAGCAAGTGGGTAACCTGAGAAAACTCTACATCATGTCTCATCTTGGAATTATATTTAGTGTTTTCAGATGATGGCATCAGAGGCACCCAGAAACTGGGACCGACTGAAGACAAAGCAGGCTTGCACATCCTGTCTCCCACTCACCCAAGAGCTCACCTGAGCAAAACACCAGACAGAATCATGTATCATGTAGACTGTCTCTCTTCTTCTTACTTTTGTGGGATTGAACTCACATATTTGAATTTACCTGAGGTGTGTGGGTATGTTGTACACAATTTGTACTCTGTTGTACGTAATTAGTTTTTAGTAGATAAAATGTTTTTGTGGTGCTAGGACCTCACACATGCTAAATAAACGTTCTACCTTTGAGCTATACCACCAGATACAGACTCTCTTAAAGAACAAATATTCTAGCTGCGTGATGATGGCACATGCCTTCAATCCCAGTGCTCATGAGACAGAGGAAGGCAGATCTGAGTTCAAAGCTACCCTGGTCTGCAGAGTGAGTTCCAGGACAGTCAGGGATACACAGAGAAACCCTAATTCAAAAATCAAACAAACAAGCTGTGGTGGTTTGAGAGAATTGGCCCCAAAGTGAATGGCACTATTAGGAGGTGTGGCTTTGTTGGAGTAGGTATGGCCTTTTTGGAGAAAGTGTGACACTATGGAGGTGAACTTTGAGGTCTCCTATGCTCAAGCTACACCCAGTGACACCGTTCACTTCCTGTTGCCTAAAGATCAAGATGTAGAACTCTCAGCTCCGCCTCCAGCTCCATGTCTGCCTGCATGCTAACAAGTCCCACCATGAAAATGGACTAAACCTCTGAAACTGTAAGCTACTCCAATTAAATCCTTTGCTTTTACAAGAGTTGCTTTTGGCCGGGCGTTGGTGGCTCATGCCTTTAATCCCAGCACTTGGGAGGCAGAGGCAGGCGGATCTCTGTAAGTTCAAGACCAGCCTGGACTACCAAGGGAGTTCCAGGACAGCCTCCAAAGCCACAGAGAAACCCTGTCTCGAAAAAAAAAAGAGTTGCTTTGGTCATGGTGTCTCTTCACAGCAATGGAAACCCCACTAAGACACAAAGAAAAGAACAAATATTCTGGGATTGGTAACTATATACATATCTTCTATTTTCATCAGTTACTTCTTCTTTGAGCAGCTACTATTGCCTGTCTGCTATTTCCAGCACTGGACTACACAATGGCAGAGAAGGAAGAAAAAATAAGATGGTCTCTATCTCTTCCTTCATGGAATTCAGCCAAATAATCTACTAATCAAATTGTATATCAGTAAAATAAAGAACATCCAGGGCTGGAGCAATGGCTCAGCAGTTAAGAGGCTGTGTGCTCTTCCAGAGGACCTGCCTTCGATTCTTGGCATGCATATGGAGTCTCACCACTGTCTGTAATCACTCAGACAAGTATTCATACGCACACAATAAAAGTAAACATTTGTAAAGCAAAAGAGGAGGGAGAAGGAAAGGCTGAGGAACATCACACTGTGCAAACCTATGGTGTAGGTGATCTACACACAGGGCTTAGAAAAACTCCCTGAGAAAGACTCAGAGTTGGTAGATGCTTATAGAATGGGAACTGCAATGTGCTGGACTGTAGGGATGCCTCCGGCCATGCGTACTGTTTGAGTTTGTCTTTGGAGGAGTAGAAAGTCCCTTGAAGGTGGGGAGTGGTGAAAGCATGTTGTAAACTTTGCATCTGAAAAAACAAATAGTGCTACCACAATGACAGAATGTGGAGAGCAGACAGGGAAAGGAAGAGAGTAAAGTGCCTGTCTGCAGGTCACCGTGGCACAAAAGCAGTTAACAGCCTAGGTAGACCTAACTGTGGAGGGTAGCACAGGTGGAGACTGATCCTAGAAACAAAGTATAACATACATATTAGACGGGTCTCATGATGTAACCTTGGCCAGCGGGGAGCTCACTACATAGACCAGACTGGCTTTAAACTCACAGAGATCCACCTGCCTCAGTCTCTCATGTACTAGCATTAAAGATGTGTGCCACCACCCCTGAAGGAAGGGAGGGAGGGAGGGAGGGACGGAGGGAGGGAGGAAAAGAAAAACTCACAGATTGATAATCTTTCCCAAAACCTTGGTAAAGATTTTACACATGAGAAAGTCACATGTTACGTGCAGAACACAGAGGAAGGTGCCATCTGGAGAAGTATACATGTGCATGTTCCTGTTTGAAGCAATAAAAGAGTGAAGATACAAAATACCCTGTGTGGTGATGTTTTGTTTGTGATCTAACAAAAAAACCTTGCCTGTTGATCCGAGTGTGGAGCTAGCCACTAGTTAGCCACAGAGGCCAGGCGGTGGTGGCACACACCTTTAATCCCAGCACTTGGGAGGCAGATTCAGGCAGATATCTCTGTGAGTTCAAGACCACCCTGGTCTACATGAGATTGCTCCAGTCTAAAAGAGAAACAGAGGCAGGCAGTGGTGGCTCACACCTTCAATCCCAGTACTTAGGGTCACATGCCTTTAATCCCAGCGCTAGGGAGGTAGAGGCAGGAATGATATAGCTGAGTAGAATGAGGAATATAAAGCAGGAGGAGACAGGAGCTCATGGCATTCAGTCTGAGGTTTCCTAGAGACAGCATTCAGTCTGGGGTTTCCTAGAGACAGCATTCAGTTTGAAGATTCCTAGGGACAGGATGGCCCATTTGGCCTGAGGATTCAGCAGAGGTAAGATGTCTGGTTCCTTTACTTCTCTGAACTTTCAGCAACTACTCGATATCTGACTCTGGATTTTTATTATTAAGACCTATTAGAACTTCTGCTACACCCTTGCTGCTACTACTTCATTTATTTTTAAGTGTATAAAACAGTGATCTCATTAGGACTTTATTGATGGTTTCTTAAGCTCAAGATGTGTATTGGTTACTTTTCTGTTGTGATAAAACACCATGATTTATCCTGCTGAAAACCCCATTTTCCTCCTCAAATCACTAGCCCAAACTTCCCAATGAATAATAATAGTTAACATTTATTGAGTGACACTATGCACCATTCACTCTTCTGTATACTTTGGACATTAACTTATAAAATCCTCCAAATAGCTCTATTATATAGATATTACTATCTCTACTTCCCAGGAATGACAGTGCATGCCTGTAATGCCAGCACTTGGAAGATAGGAGAATCAGGCTTCCAGGACATCCTTAGCTATATTTCAAGTTGGAGATCAGCCTGGGCTTCATAAAAACCTGTCTTGACATAAGAAAGAAAGAAAAAGGAAGGAAGGAAGGAAGGAAGGAAGAAACTAAACAGATAGGTCAAATGACAATAATTGTTTATTTCTTTGCTCATTCATTTTGAGACAGGATCTCATCTTACAGCCCTGACTGGCTTACAACTAAATATCTAGGTCAGGCTGGCCTCAAATTTATGGTAATCCTCCTGCCTCTGGCTACAATTGGGATTACAGGCAGGCACCACCATGGTGACTAAAGTGACCACAACGGAGAAGTATTGAGATTCAGACCAGTAGAGACACAAGTGCTTGCGTTTCTAGCCCTCTGGCAACAGAAAAATAGTCCTTACATGGATGTGCTTCAATTAAGTAGTATAGTCACCCCTTACCCCCGCCCCCAGACTGGGTTCCCAGTAGCTATGGAGCCAGTCCTGGAACTTGCTCTGTAGAAAAGGACTGGTTTTGAAATCACAAAGATCTGCCAGCCTCTGTCTCCTGAGTTCTGGGATTAAAGGCATGTGCCACCACCAGGCAAGTAGTACAGTCTCAAAGGCAGATTTGAAGGAAAATCTGTATTTTCAAAAAAGGGATAAAACTGTTTACAATAGCACTCCCAACGCCTTTTCCTTCTGTATTGGGCCCTCACACACTTGAGTAGTCTAGCCATATCCCCAGTACTCCTCCCCAACAATTACATAAGACCCACAAAACTGTTACCTTTCTCCATTTTTTAGACAGATCCTCCCAGCCTCCGGCTCGCTCTGTGTCATAGTATCATCAGAGATACAAAAACAGTTAGCTCCCCGTGGGAGTCACAGACACTTCAAAAGACTTTCAGTCTTCTCATCATTAAAAAAAAGTTCATGGACTTCACACATATTTGGAGTTAGCCATGCCTAGAAGTGGCTCATGCCAGTGGATTCAGCATTCAGGTGTATGAAACATGAGTATTGCAGCATGTTGGAGGCTAGCCTGAGCTACATGATGAGTTCAAGGCCAACCTGGGCTACAGAATGAGGCTGTATGAAAAAGAAGAGCCCTAACGCAAAGGGCTAAGAACTGGCAAGCTCTGTTTACTAACAACAAGGTGCATTTATTCTAGGGGACGGTCCATTCAACGCACAGCGAGATCCCGCTGTACCCGAGATGGACCTTAGGCGGCGCTGCAGGGACGGGTAAGTGCGCACAGGGCTTCTCTAGGAGATGCTGGTTGAAGGCGGGGCGATTCGAGGCTTCTCTGCGGTGGGAGGAGACTGCGGCCGGAGGGAAGCCACGTGATCAGGGGCGCGCAGGCGCAGGATTGGTCACTCCCCCGGGAGTGAGGGTTGCTGGGCCGGATGACGTGGCCTAGCAACGTCCCTGCCCGTTCTGCCCCCCGAGAACCGCGCTACCGGAACAGCCCGCGGCCTAGTCCCGCCCGGCGCGCGTGGACCTGCCGGCCGAGCCCGGGCTAGCGGCGGGGACGGCTGGGCCTGCGGGGGCGCGGCGCGCCGCTGACATGGGGGAGTGACTGCGCCTGCGCCCGCGCTTCCGTAGCGGCGGCGGCGAGACATGAGGCGAGCCCGCAGCGCGGGCAGCGGCGGCTCCTGAGCCGGCATGGAGGAGAAGTACGGCGGGGACGCGCGGGCCGGGCCCGGCGGCGGCCTCGGGCCGGTGGATGTACCCAGCGCCCGGTAAGGAGGGACCCGCCCGCGGCGCTGCGGACCGGCGTCCCCGGCCGGTGCCTCTGCGGTCCCGTGGCTTGAGGTCCGCGAGCGGGCGGGAGCCTGGGCTCGGGGCGCATCGCCTGGCACCTTGCAGTCCCCAGAGAGGTGGTCGCGGCTGTCCCTCTCTGCTGCCACGGTGTCGCGGGGCTCCTTACCCTCTCCCACGCCTCCCCGAGAGGGTGTGCGGAAGGTGTCACCGCCTCTCCGGGAAGAAACCAAAGTACAAGCCGATGAACTTGGACGTACAGCGCCGCAAAAGTGCAGCCCTGTCAGCGAGTTTTCGTTGCCCCGTTTTTGTGGGGAAGAGTAAGGGGCTTATTTTAATAGTACGAATCGGGTGTTGCCCCTTCTCTCGCCCCCCATTCATACGGGACAGAAATTCATGAAGTGAAAATCTTTACCCCCCCCCCTCTCGCCTAAAGGCTAGGACTGAGTAATGTGCAGCGGTACTTGCCAGTTGTGTCCTTCCTGACCTGTGTCCCAAGTTCTGAGGTAGCGTTAAAGACACATAGACTTTATATAGCCCAGCAATTTTGTTCAAACGGGTGTTTACTACCTTCGTTTTTAACGAGGTCCAGTTTTTCGACTCAGTTTGATTCTGAGATTTAGTGATTGTTTTGATAATGTTCTTAGAACATAGTGAGAGCGTTACCAGCTAACTCTCGTTTGTGAAAAGAACTCATACGCTGAATAGAATTTGAACCAACTGCGGGGTGTGTAGCATACATTTGGCTTTCTGTCTGTTTTGAGCAATTCATTTATAGCATGTCACGTGTTAGTCAGTGGCCCATAAGAGCTAAATGCAGACGGGGCTACTGGTATGGATTGGTAATAGAGAGGGAAATACCAGAAGGGACAAGACTAGGTCAGTTCACAAAACTGGACTGTGGAGACAGACTAAAGTGTCAGATCATTGTTAAATTTCCTGTTGATGATAACTGCTGGTTTCATAGCAGAGTTGCCATATTCTTAGGAGATATTTAAGGGTAAATAAGTGTAATGTACTTCATTTGCTCTCAAATAACCCAAGGATAGGTGTGTGCGTGCACCCGCGGGCTGTCAGAGTATGAGTGAGTTTAAAAGTGGTTTTGCGTATGAGCCTACTGTCTTAGACAAATTTGTTAAACATCATTTGCCAGCCTACCTGTAGTATTAGTTGCTTGGCAGAGTTGCACTTCTTTTGTAGTCTATTGCAGAATATAAATTTTGACTCGGGACTGGCTGAATTTCCAGGTTGCCAGACTTTTCTGTGTGTTCAAGTACTGGTTATTAGCTGCAACACAAATTGTCAGATCCTTTCATTGTGGCTATTTTTGACGCCTTGGTTCACAAATGTTTTAAATAAAGGTTTCTGTTTTGGCTTCATGAAATCTTTAGTGGTCAAGACAACTGAGGCTCACTGAACACCTCCTACGCCCCAAAGGCTCTTAGTATACACTCCCTTTAATCTTTACAACAGCCCTACAGACTAAATAGGGGTATCCTTGTTTGGTGGGAAATTGAGTTGCCTAAGGTCACCCAACTAATGACCTGGGAACCTGAATTGTTTCAGAACTGAGTGTCATGCTTGCCTTCTGCTTCACTTATAGATACTTGACTATGTATTTAGTGAGTTGAACTATTATCATTGTTGTTGTTAGTCATATTTCCTTTTGAGACAAGATATCATGAATGCTGAGGATTCAAACCCAGGCCCTCATGCTTACACAGCAAGTGCTCTTACCCACTGATCCATCTTCCCAGCCCTCTTATTTTTTGCTTGTTTGTTTTTGGATTTTTGAGACAGTTTTGCTGTCCTGGAACTAGCTGTCCTGCAACCAGGCTGGCCTCAAATTTAACAGAGATCCTCCTGCCTCTGCCTCCAAAATGCTAGGATGAAAGACATGCACCACCACTACTGGCCTATTTTTAAGTTTTAGTTTTTATACATACAAATGTTTGCTAGATATATCTCGCTCATACCCCTTTATGCCCTCCTCTTTTTTTAATATCTAGAGAACTGAGAGTGGCAGTGATGAACTAAATTCAAGAAGTAGCTATAAACATTTATCCAAATTTTAATTGCAAGTTTATAGAGGACTGAAGAAACCACATAGAAGACCAGTTTGGGGGTTTGTTTGTTTGTTTGAGTTTGTTTTTGTTTTGAGATGACTTAATAGCAAGTAATGGTTTCTAAGTGGGGAGCTGGACTGAGCGCCCTGCATTGTCCTGAGGCTCAGTGGCCTTTACAAGACCCTACTCCTTCTCCCATCCCCATCTTCACAGTCTAGTCACTTCCCTCCTTAGCATGAACTGCAGTGTTTTTACGTGGCTTCTTAGCCTTAACTGGTATTTTAGAGATGTCCAGCAGGAAGATGTGTTCACTGGAGCTTTGAAAGTCAAAGAATGCAGGAGCCAGCAAGATAGCTCAGTAGGAATAGGCCCTTTCTGCCAAAGATGATGACCTCAGTTTGACTCCCTGGACTGCACGGTAGAAAAGAACTGTAGGCAGACTTTTCTTTGCTACCTGCGAACAGAGAGACTCAATAATTTGCTCAGCCAATAGCTCAGGCTTATTATATTAGCTAACTCTTACATTTAAATTAACCCATATTTCTTGCCTATGCTTTGCTACATGGCTTGGAATCTTTTCTCAGTACAGCATGCCCATCTTGCTTTCTCTGCGTCTGCTGGTGACTCCACTGCTCTGCCCTTCTTCCTCCCAGCATTCTCCGTTTGGCTGTCCAGCCTAACTTTATCCTGTTCAGCTATTACCCATTCAGTGTTTATTAAACCAATCACAGGACACATATTCACACAGTGTAAAGGAGTGTTCTGCACAGAACCAACTCCCACAAGTTCTCTGACTTCGTATGACTGTGCATGTGCACACACAAATAGTAACAGAAAAATATATGTAATAAAAGAATTATTTTTTTTTTTTGGTTTTTTGAGACAGGGTTTCTCTGTATTGTTTTGGAGGCTGTCCGGGTACTCGCTCTGTAGACCAGGCTGGCCTCGAACGAGATCCGCCTGTCTCTGCCTCCCGAGTGCTGGGATTAAAGGCGTGCGCCACCAACGCCCGGCTCAATAAAAGAATTTTTAAAGTCAATATGACACTTAAAATGTTTAAATAATTTTCCTAATTTATAAGTATTGCAGAAAGATCTGCAGAGTATATTGTGTAAAAGAGTCCAGTTTCAGAATATGTGTATAATTGCAAATGTGGATAAAATAATACTTGTTTACATGTATAGAGACGAAATGGAAAAGGTTTGTAAAGCTGTACCTAAATTGGTACAGGTGAGGAAACAGTTAGAAATAATTTACAACCTTTCCAATAATCAGCTATTCAGGAATTAACATTGTTACCTCCAGGGTGCTATGCATGTATATGATATGAAAGTAAAATTTCTTTGCTAGTATATTATCAATGAGCATTTCACATAAATTGATCCATATCATTCAAGTACCAATTTTTGAAGTTTTTAGTATTTATACAGAAATCATTTATGAATTTATCTATGCTCTTTATAAAGTAAGTATGTTTAAATATAATTTGCCTTTTCTTTGACTTCAGTCATAGGTAATCTATTGCTAACCTAAATTAAACTAAACTAAACCACTAGATTGAACTAAAATTAAATACAGTAGGATCTTCAAGATCTCATTCCAATACTCACATTTTGTTTTGCACATGCCACTATGTCCTCTGACTTAGCCTTCCCTTCCCCTTTCCTGCTTAATTCCTATATTATCTTCAGTACACATACATATCAAACTCTGTGGAGATACCTTTCAGTTCTCTAGAGGTAGTTGCTCCAGCTAATAACTAAGACATTAAACCAGGCTAGCGCCCTGCCCTCAAGGAGCTCCAAATCTCCAGGAGAGAATAGGGAAACTGAAGGTTCTAAAAGACGTTGGACCTCCCACAATTAGTTAATCGCTCTACCACTGAGCTACATCCCCAGCCTCTTATTTATTTGTTTGTTCTTTTTTTAAAGATCAGGTCTCACTAAGTTGCCCTTGCTGATCTTAAACACACTTTGTCGCAGGGAGATTTCTGTGAGTTCAAGGGCAGCTTGGTCTGTAGTGAGTTCCAGGCTAGCCAGGGCTACATAGTGAAATCCTGTGTCAAGAGAGTTAGTTCCTTCTTCTGTTCTTCCCAAGCAACTTTGATTACCATCATGTCATTAATATGTACTGAAAATAAACCAAGAATATATGTACCAGAATGTAAACAGTAGTTGACCTGTGGATGGTGAGTTGTTGGGGAAGATTTTTATTATTGATTTATGTGTGTTCATGTGTATTTCCATGGCTTTTTCAATGACCTGTACTTGTATAGTAAGAAAAAAAAACAAGATTACAGCAATCCTAATAATTTCAATTATATTAAAATTTGTTTCTGTTTTTATTTTTCAGATTAACAAAATACATTGTGTTACTGTGTTTAACCAAGTGTTTGAAGGCTGTGGGACTTTTTGAGTCATATGATCTCTTAAAAGCTGTTCACATTGTTCAGTTTATTTTTATATTAAAACTGGGGTAAGTATGGAGAGAGCCTTAATGTTTCTTATGTCTCTGAAGATCCTGTTTTGACTATCTTTAAGAAATCTTACCTACATGTCCTATGAAGTTTATTCCTTCAGACAACTACTTGATAATTTTTTTTCTTTATATAAGAGTGGACGGGCAGAGACCCATCAGAAAAGGGTTATTTTAGCCGAATGTAGCAGCGTATAATCCTAGCACTGGGGAAGTTGAGTCAAGAGGATCATGAATTGGAGTTCAGCGCCAGTTACACAGTGAAGCTCTGTCTCAAAAATAAAGTAAAAGGAGATGGTTGAGTTCATATGACTTGCCAAATATAGGTTTTTAGTTTAGTTTGTATTGCTAAGATTTTTGCAAAGCTCTTTTAATGCCTAGCTTAATAGACACTTTGGTTCCTATCTATATATTAGCAATCAGTCTTTTGTGATATCTTGTATCATTTCATCTCATGGGGGGCTCCCCTTCCACTCCTGAGAACAAGTATAAAAAGGTGTCGATGTCGGCCGGGCGTTGGTGGCGCACGCCTTTAATCCCAGCACTCGGGAGGCAGAGGCAGGCGGATCTCTGTGAGTTCGAGGCCAGCCTGGTCTACAAGAGCTAGTTCCAGGACAGCCTCCAAAGCCACAGAGAAACCCTGTCTCGAAAAAACCGAAAGAAAAAAAAAAAAAGGTCGATGTCATATTTTTATAAAAATAATTTTGACAGTCTAGAGAGATGTCTTAGCAGTTAAGAGCAACTACTGCTCTTGCAGAGCACCTAAATTAGGTTCCCAGCATCTACTCATGTGACTCACAACTGCCTATAATGCCAATGCCAGATTTGACACTCTGGCCTCTGTGTGCACCAGTGTACACATGCGGACATACACATAACTGAAAATAAGGTAAATATTTAAAAAAATAGATTTGACTTTCTGCTTCCCTAGGGATTTGTAGACTATCCCAGTGATGTAGTTCAGTCTTGGGGCAGTCAAAAAAATGTTGCCTGAGCTTGTCTTGTTCCATGTTTGCAAGTTAAATCATGCTGTGCTGTGTTCCCTATATTACCCATCAGAGTGCAGGGTCCTCGTGTTCTGTAAACTGTATAGTTTATATGCAGTGTTCTTCCTAAGTAGAGATTTTTGGACCTTGAGGTTAATAGTAATCCTCTATGTGTTGATGAAAGTCTTATCAAAGATGCTTGAGGGTATAATTTGGCAATTTAGGAAAAATATCTTTTTTTTTAAGATTTATTTATTATTTATGAATACAACATCCTGCCTCCATGTATGTCTGCAGGCCAGAAGAAGGCACCAGATCTCATTATGGATGGTTGTGAGCTACCATGTGGTTGCTGGGAATTGAACTCAGGACCCCTGGAAGAATAGTCAGTGCTCTTAACCTCTGAGCCATGTCTCCAGCCCAGGAAAGAATTGTTGACTAGAAGAGTTACACATTTTTGTGTGGCATAGTGAAAAGATGGAGGCATGTACATTGATTCAGAGTTTATCACTACTAAATATAAGAGAATATGTATTACTTTCTGTGCTGTTTTAAGGTATTGAAAATATTAAAAGGTAGCCGGGCCGGGCGTTGGTGGCGCACACCTTTAATCCCAGCACTCGGGAGGCAGAGGCAGGCGGATCTCTGTGAGTTCGAGACCAGCCTCGTCTACCGAACGAGTTCCAGGACAGAGTCCAAGACAATACAGAGAAACCCTGTCTCAAAAAACCAAAAAAAAAAAAAAAGAAAATATTAAAAGGCTAAGTAGAGTAGCTTATGCCAATAATTCTACCACTTAGAAGGCCCAGGCTAGAGAATAGCAAGTTCAAGATCAGCTTAGACTGTGTCATGAGATCCTGTCTTGACACTCATTATTGCTGCTGAGTTCTGAAGACAGTTACCAGGAAAGCTCCTGGGTTTTGCCATAAAAGCCTCATCAGTATAAAGGCAGTCTACTACACTTTTCTTGTTTTATCTCTTGAGGCAAAGACTTTGTGTAGCCCTGGCTAACCTTGAACTCACAGAGATCCACCTGCTTCTGCCTCCCAAGTGCTGGGATTACAGGTGTGTACACCCAGCCTAGAGCAAAGTTTCTTTAAATATGATAGTCATGAAAAATCTGTTAACCAAAACTTAAAATCAGATGCATGATGAATCTGAGGTGTTTCTGTAGCACAGCTTAGCTGCAGTCTTGGTTCTGCACACAGCACGGAACTTGGCACTGTGTATGGCATATTGCTGTACCATTCTAAAGAATACTTCTGAATCACCTTGATTCATGTTTTAACATAACATGCAAAATTTTCTACTCTTAGAAGCATAATGGTTTAATTACAGAAAGCTAAGATTTAATATTTTCCTAGTGTTTTCTTCAACGTGTTTGTATCAGATTATTGTGTCCAAGGATTGTAAACACATCCATCTCAATAGCGTGCAAATTTGCTTTCACCTCTAATAGTAAACTATGTACACCAAAGAATTCAAGATATAGTTTAAAAATAATTTTTTATGATCTATTAGCAGTAAATGTTTGACTTGTATGTATGTCTTACATACCTGTATATCATAATAGCATAAAATATGTCAAGTAGAAGGGGCCACAGGTAGAAAGAGTTTAAAATTTTTACATTAAAAATATTTAATGTTAATATATTATTCTTTCAATGTTTACAGGACTGCATTTTTTATGGTTTTGTTTCAAAAACCGTTTTCTTCTGGGAAAACTATTACAAAACATCAGGTGAGGTGTCAACAGAATCATTTATTCCTAACAGCTTCCCTTTTAATAGTCCAGAATAAAGTGCCATTTCTAACTTTCTAGACTTAAGCTTCTGGTTTTGTTTTTGTTGTTGCTTTTTGTTTGTTTTGATCTCCTGTAGCCCATTGTGACCTCAAACTTGTTATGTGGCCAACAATGACCCTGCACTCCTGATCATCTTGCCTCTACTTCCCCAAGTGCTGCTGTTGCAGGGTCACACCACCATTCCCAGTTTATATAGAGCTGATGCTGAACTCACGCATGCTGGGCAAGCATTCTTCCAACCTAGCTACCTTCCAGTCCTAGAGTTAACTCACTCCTGACTTGTCTTTTCAAAATGAGACTCTAACAGTGAGCTATAAAATCTCTGTGTGATGGAGAGCTCTCAAAGATGTAGAAGACTAGCAGATTTTAAAGGATGTCTTTAATAGTCTCCTTATTCAGGAAGACACACACATCAGGCGTGGAGTCTTGCCCAGGAGCCTAGAGTGTCACTGGGAGTGCGCAGGAGTTGGAAGTGAGACCCCCTAATATCAGCCATATTCATGTCCTGTACTACTTAACATGATCTCTTTTGCCTTCATTCTGCTCACTTATAAAGTGAAAGTAATAATATTGTTCTGTGTATATTTGTGAGGAATAAATTATTTTATGCATACATTTATTTTTCCAATTGTACCTCACATGTGAGTGTGCAGTACATGTGCAGTGTATCACTCTGGTCATCATTGTAATTCCCTTCAGATGACGTCATGGCAGAACAGCTCACCGTGCTGCGTTGTCTCACAGAATGCCTCCCTGAAAGCAGTCATACTCCACTGCATGTCTCCCATGTCACACTTAGGGTCCGCTACCATATTATCTGCATGGTAAATTGAAGTACTTCTATTTTAGAGATCAAGACATTTTTAAAATACAACTAATCTTTTTAACTCCATCTACGTGTCTTTCTTCATTTTCAAATAACCATAGCATAAAAATTCCTCTTGGAGCCGGGCGTTGGTGGCGCACACCATTAATCCCAGCACTCGGGAGGCAGAGGCAGGCGGATCTCTGTGAGTTCGAGACCAACCTGGACTACCAAGCGAGCTCCAGGACAGCCTCCAAAGCCACAGAGAAACCCTGTCTCGAAAAACCAAAAAAAAAAAAAAAATTCCTCTTGGAAAGCTAAACATGGTAATATATGTATGTACTCATGACACCCATGGAATCAGAAACAAGATCAGTATGAGTTCAAGGCCAGCCTGAGCTGCATAGTGAGACCTTGTCTCAAAAAAAAACCAAAACAAAACAAAAAACCTCAACCATTATTCCTAGAAAGCTAGTGCAAAAAATAGAAAATTGGACTGCATAGAAAAAAAGATTGAAGACCTATCAGCCAGGTGTAGTGGTGCACATCTTTAGTCCCAGCACTCAGAAAGCAGAGACTGATGGATTTCTGTGAGTTTGAGGCCAGTCAAAGCTACATAGTGAGAATCCCAAAAGAAAAGAAAAAGAAAACCTAACAATAAGATGAGAATATAGATAATCAAAATGAATCTAGCTAATCAGAGGATTTCAGCATTTTCTGTTTAATATTAAAATATGTGGTATGCGATTATTTAACCTTTTGATTGTATCAGTGTCATCTTTTCCCTATGGGTTTTATTTAGTTCCTCTTTTGAGATAGGGTGTCACTGTGTTAGACCTGAGCAACCTGGAATTCACTGTGTAGACCAGGTTGGCCTGAAATCGGAGGTCTGCCTGCCTGTCTCCTGGGTTCAGGAATCAGAGGCATATGCTGCCTTCCTATAGGTTTTATTTAAGCATGGAATACTTACTAGCAAATGGATATGACTGAAGTTTTATTTTTGTTTCTATTTATAGTGGATCAAAATATTTAAACATGCAGTTGCTGGATGTATCATATCACTTTTGTGGTTTTTTGGCCTTACTCTTTGTGGACCACTAAGGTAAACAAAAATATATATTTTTTATATTTGTTTACATTTCTTTGAATATAATTTTCTGTAATTTTTAGTATTTGTATGTGCACGTGTGAAGGTCAGAGAACTGGTAGTCACTCCTTCCACCATGTGGGTCTTGGGGATCAGGCTTGGCAGCAAATATCTTTAGTCACAGAGCCATCTCCCTGGCCCTTGTTCCATGTTTTATATCAAAGATTTACTTGTACAACTGTTTCTGTCACTTCTATAGCATTGAATACATTTCAACATAGAAGAATCAGTTTAGTCTGTAGAATAGTTCTTGGATAAATACCATTAATGTATTTATTAATGATCTATCGTAGATATTTTGTTAGAATCAAAAACATTTTAGATGGAGAAGCTAAAACATCTGAAATGGGAAATGAAATAAACCAATAAAGATGAGACATCTTGAAAAGTGTAAGGGGGTCAGATGCCCTGAAACAGAAATTCCAGGTGGTTGTGTGCTCTTAGGTGGGTGCTTGAACCTAGGTCCTCCAAATAGTAGTGACCTCACTTAACCACTGAGACATCTTTTCGACCCAACACAAATATATTTTAACAATAATAATTCACTTCTTGATCTGGGAAGCTTTTCTTCTTCCTTGGGCATACTAGCACACACCTCTAATCCCAGCACTCAGGAGGCAGAAGCAGGTGGATCTCTGAGTTTGAGACCAGCCTGGTCTACAAAGTGAGTTCCAGGGTAGTGAGGGCTACACAGAGAAACCCTGTCTCAAAAAATCCATATACACATATGTACACTCACATCATATATATATACATTCACAGAAATCTGGGCCAGCAGGATGGCTGAGAGGACATGCATATGCTGTGCTGGCCCAACATCCTGAGGTTGGTGTCCAGACCCAGTGGTAGGAGGAGAAAATTGATTCATCCTGAAAGTTTTCCTCTGTCCTGTCTCTTCACCCCCACCTCCACAGACTGTGACAATAAGTAACATTTTTTAACAGGAAGATGATATATTTTCAAAATATGATATTTTTTAAATGACATAATTCTAAGATTGAAGATTATTATTGTCAGGTATTTCATAGCCTCATTATTTCTAAGGCAATTAATACCAAATATTTTCCAAGGGAATTGTTCATATTTCTTTTTCTCGTATTTTGTGAAGCAAGGGATTTTCTTCCTTCTACTCTGTGAACTCATGCTTCCTGAAGGTCAGATGCATTCCTGAGCGGTGTTTTATTTTGTAGGACTTTGCTGCTGTTTGAACACAGTGATATTGTCGTTATCTCACTGCTCAGTGTTTTGTTCACTAGCTCTGGAGGAGGACCAGCAAAGGTAGGCTCGCCATCGTTGTTACTTAGGTGTTGAAAGTACACATTGTTCATAGCAAAACCAAATCATATCTTTTGCTATTATAATAATGAAGAGACTTAATGCTAACTTAACATTTTTCCATTTTCATTTCTCTTTGATGTGATTATAGTTTCTTAGGAAGTTGTAAAAATAGTACCAGTTTTTCCCAAAGGAAACTTAGAGGTTAATATTATTATAACTCATACTATAATCCTTTATTCAGGTCTTAGCAATGTTACATATGTGTTTGTAGACTGTAAGAACCTCAGCAACCAAGGTGGGGAACTGACACATCACCAGCAAAGATCTCCTTAGTGTGGTGTCGGTAGCCTTCTCTGCCTTATTCTTAAGTTCATAGGAAAAGCCTGTGAGTTTGCCCTATTTAGTCTGCTGAACAATTACCCAGTGCTTTACCAACTAGTCATCAGAAGTAATTTGGAAAACGAGTTGTCAGTCTGCCATCCAAATGTTAGAGCTAGCACTACACTATCTCCATTTTACCAAATTAAAATATCCCTACACATGGAGCACTGTCCTGAAAGCTGTCATCTGATTCCACAGCACTTGCATTCCCCTCCCCTACCACACACAGTAAATAAGGGTAATTTTTAACAAATAGGAGAGACTTTGAGGCTAGCCTGTGACTGTCTTTAAAAATAGAAAAGGCCCCAGAGAAGGGGGGGTGTCATAATTCCCACCACATTAGAGTGTAATGATAATCATATAATGAATAGACTACTATCTTGTTTTCATTTGGAATCTATTTACTGGAATTATTATAGTTTCATTACTAAGTATACATGATGCTCTTATGTAAATGTATAAAATACTACATGTAAGTATAAATATTACATAAAAATACTTGTAAGTTTACAGATAACAAATTATAGTAAGAATATGAAGTTTTTATATCTTAATATTCTGAAATATATAAGCCAGGCTTATACATTTTCTCTATAGCTTCCTTTTATTCAAATTCTTTCCCTGCAATGACAACATAAATATTACAAGTTTATGAGGAAGCTGGGTGGTGGTGGCACATGCATTTAATCCCAGCACTCAAGAAGCAAAGGCAGGTGGATCTCTGAGTTGGAGGACAGTCAGAGCTACACAGAAAAACCCTGTCTCATAAAAACTAAAAAAAAAAAAAAAACCTTTATATGGCTGAGAACAGTTGCTGTGAAAGCAAGGACCTGAGTTCAGGTCCCCAGCATCCGTGTAAAAATCGGACCTGGCTGTGTATGCCTGTAACCCCAATGCTATATTGTAGAGACAGGTAAGTCCCAGGACGGGCAGGCTAGCCCACCTAGTAAAAACAACCAACTTCAAGTTCATTGACAAACCCTATCTCAAAAAAAAGGGGGGGGGATAGAGGGCAAAAACTTGCTCAGTGGTTAAAAGGACTGGAGTTTGGTTTCCAGCAACCCCTCTGAGTGGCTTATGACTGCTGGTAACTCCAATTCCTGGGGATCTGACACCCTCTTCTTGTCTCTGAAGGCACTTGTGTTCATGTGTACAATCCATGTACACACACACAGTTTAAAAAGCCTTTAAAAACTGGATCTAGATAGAAATTACAGCTGTCTTCCTCTGGCTTCCACATGCTTGCACAGAGCCAGCACATACATCCACCATACACATCTTCAACACACACAGTTCACACACAATCTTAGGATTGACATAATTTTCCCAGTATGGCTTCATGGACCTTTTTCCCTAAAGGAACACTAGCTAGACTGGAAACTTACATCTGTAAACCTTAATAGTTTGTTCATATTGATACATCTAGTCACATTTAGGAGATAATGTTGCTAACATTGTGTCTTAAATGCTCTTAAAATACTCTGCAGAATTTATTTCTGTTGCTTACTATTTGTTATGCTATAAACTTATGTGAAGATGATAATGTCAGGTGTTATTTTTCACTAAATGTTGATATATTTTTAACCTTCTTCTGAAGCCATGCTTGATGGTACATACCTGCCTCCTAGCACTCAGTTGGCTGAGATAGGAGGATTGTGAAAACAAGGCCAGCCTGGGTTGCAAAATATAAAAGGGACAGAAACCTTTTCCCCTAGCATTTGTGTGGTTATGCTAAGAATGAACCTTTAAAAACAACAAAAACCAGAATTTTGTATGTTTCTTCTCTTTCAGACAAGGGGGGCTGCGTTTTTCATTATTGCTGTGATCTGCTTACTGCTTTTCGACAATGATGATCTCATGGCTAAGATGGCTGAACACCGTATCCTTTTACATTACACTGGAGTTATCTAAAGCCTGAAAGAAAAATGGAAGCTGGCAGATTGAAATAACGGGGAAGGAAATTGTTTTCAAAAGTACCATGTTACTAAGGGTAGTCAAATTGGAATGGCCAGACTTAGTTTAACTTTGAACAGAACGTAGTGTTTGGGGAGCTGAGCTTTAAGACTATTTTCCTTTACTGCCATTTGTTTAGCTGAAGGCCATCATGACAGTGCTCTAACTCACATGCTTTATACAGCTATTGCCTTCTTAGGGGTGGCAGATCACAAGGTACGCTCTTCTCTGTGTTGCAAAGATGATGGAAAGGCCATGGCCCTGTAACTGGGGGCAGGGCCTCATGGAGCCCAGACTGACCTAGAATTGACATGTAGCCAAGGATGACCTCTTACCTCTACCTCTACCTCTAAGCATATGCCACCACAATTTTTAAATTTCTTTTATACCTAACACATGTCTTTACACTTAGCACTGAGGAGGCTGAGGTAAGAGGATCTCCAATTTAATGCCAGCCTGGGCTACATCATACTGTCCAAAAAATATACTTAAACTAATTGATCTCAGGACTGGAGAGATGGTCTTAAAGTTTTGTAAATAAATATATGTCTTTAAGGCGTTTTGATATGATAGTATATATGTTTTAATAAGATTTTTCTCGTTTTGCTTATAGGGTGGAGTGCTCTTGCTAGTGCTGGCTTTATGTTGTAAAGTTGGTTTTCATACAGCTTCCAGAAAGCTCTCTGTAGATGTCGGTGGGTCAAAACGCCTTCAGGCCTTATCCCAGCTTGTTTCTGTGTTTCTCCTTTGTCCGTGGGTGATTGTTCTTTCTGTAACAACTGAGGTAAGAGGGAGGGTTGTTTAACAAAGTTACTGTTGAAATTTCACTTCTGCATTTTTTAATTTTAGATTAAGAGTGGCTTAAATTATCTTTGCTTTTCCTTTAATTTTATTTAGTTTTATTTCCTGTGCATTGGTGGTTTTGCTTGCATGTATGTCTATATGAGCGTGTCAGATCCCCTAGAACTGGAGTTATAGACTGTTGTGGGTTGTCATGTGGGTGCAGGGGATTGAACCTGGGTCCTCTGGAAGAGCAGTCAGTACTCTTAACCGCTGAGCCATTCCTGTCCCCAATGCTTGCTTTTTCTTTAGGTGGTTTGTTGTTGTTGTTTGGTTTTGAGTTAATTTTATTGTTTATAAAAATGTAAGTAAATACCATTACAAACATTTTGTAAAATCTGAACTTTCTCTTCATAGAATGCTGACTATTGTACTGTTTGTTTTTCATTTCTAGAGTAAAGTTGAGTCTTGGTTTTCTCTCATCATGCCTTTCACCACAGTTATCTTTTTTGTCATGATCCTGGATTTCTATATGGATTCTATTTGTTCAGTCAAAATGGAAGTTTCCAAGTGTGCCCGCTATGGGTCCTTTCCCATTTTTATTAGTGCGCTTCTTTTTGGAAATTTCTGGACACATCCAATAACAGATCAACTCCGGGCTGTGAACAGAGCAGCACACCAGCAGGGCACAGAGCATGTCTTGTCTGGAGGAGTGGTAGTGAGTGCCGTGTTCTTCATTTTGTGTAAGCATTTGCCCTTGCTTTTATTTTCATTAATCCACTTTATGTTTTCTGCTGTTTAAGCCTTCTGTGTAGACGTTAAGTGCTTGCTTTTTAGTACTTGCTGATAATGGCCGTGTTGATGGCTTAAGTGTTCAAAGCTTGTCTAATACTCTCTCTTTCTCTTTGTAGCTGCCAACATCCTATCATCTCCCTCTAAGAGAGGACAGAAAGGTACCCTTATTGGATATTCTCCTGAAGGAACACCACTCTATCACTTCATGGGGGATGCTTTCCAGCATAGCTCTCAGTCCATCCCTAGGTTTATTAAGGAATCGCTAAAACAGATTCTCGAGGAGAGTGATTCTCGGCAGATCTTTTACTTCTTGTGCTTGAATCTGGTAAGATTTTTAAATATATTTTTAAAGCACAGTGTTTTTATTTTGACAGGATATATAATTTTATTACTTCACTAGTTTCTGACAAAGATGTTAAAATTTACATTTTTCTCTACTTAGTAGCAAGGGTCCTATTCAGACAAAGCGAACAGTGTTTGCAGTGTTGTGGCACTGGTTGAGTGTGCTGTTTTAGATGACTGCTACAGTAGCTTGAGAGGGGTGGAGTTGCCTCTTTAGCAGGGTGTCCGTGCACACCACTGATGCTGCTGGTTTAGAGCCTTGCCCACAGACATACAGATCAGACAGTACCTTCTAGTTTACACAGTGTCTGCTATTTTAGTTCTTCATGATCTTTTTTTCTTTTAAGATTTATTTATTTATTACATATACAGTGTTCTGCCTACATATTAGAAGAGGGCTCCAGACTGGATTGTAGATGGTTGTGAGCCACCACGTGGTTGCTGGGAACTGAACTCAGGACCTCTGGAAGAACAGTACTCTTAACTCTGAGCCATCTCTCCAGCCCCTTTATGATCTTAAGAAACAATTTCCAGTAATTGGTAGTTAGGTATAGTTTTAAACACATTTTCAAAGACAGTTAAAGGTTAAATTCTTATGATTAAATTTAATAATTCTCTGTTGTATTCTCAACATGTTCCTCCCATAATGTTTAAATCCTTTTAGCTTTTTACCTTTGTGGAGCTGTTCTATGGTGTATTAACCAATAGTCTGGGCCTGATCTCAGATGGATTCCATATGCTCTTTGACTGTTCAGCTTTGGTCATGGGACTCTTTGCTGCCCTGATGAGTCGATGGAAAGCAACTCGGATTTTCTCCTATGGGTAGGTATGCTATCAAGGTACGCAGTTTCTTTAGTACAGTGTAGATTCCACCTTCAGAAAAAAATTATATTACTTGTAATCCAAATAATGTCAGGTCTTCACTTTTATTTCATTTGAAATTAATGTGGAATAAGAGCTACACATTTGATTAATATTGCGTGGCAGTCAGCTCAATATTATTCTTTCAAATACATCTGTTTAGAAGCAAAGAGAAAAAAATACCACCTAAATCATTTGTGATTTTTGTTCAACGTGTTTCTTTGAGGGCATGAAATATTCATCACCATTCACGTCTTTAAGAAGTATGTAAAATTTGATGTGACTGTATGAAAATATCCTCCCATTATGCTAATAATTCAACAAATGTCAAAACCTATGTGCAAGGTGTTACTGTAGTAAGTCTTACTCTAGCTTAGTGGTGGTACATGTTGTTACGCTGAGAAACTCTGTCTCAGAAAACCAAAAAGGGAAAAAAAGTGAGAAACCTATTTAAATAAACCCCATCCCTTATTGATTGCTTATATTTTGGAATTCTGTGTGTGTGTGTGTGTGTGTGTGTGTGTGTGTGTGTGTGTGTGTGTGTGTGTGTTGTTTGACTGCATGTATATGTGTGTGCCATATGAGTGCCTAATGCCCTTAGAATTCTGTGTGTGTGTGTGTGTGTGCGTGCATGTGTGTGTGTGTGTGTGTTGTTTGACTGCATGTGTGTGTGTGTGTGTGTGTGTTGTTTGACTGCATGTGTGTGTGTGTGTGCGTGCGTGCGTGCGTGTGTGTGTGTGTTGTTTGACTGCATGTGTATGTGTGTGTGTGTGTGCGTGCGTGTGTGTGTGTGTGTGTTGTTTGACTGCATGTGTGTGTGTGTGCGTGCGTGCGTGCGTGTGTGTGTGTGTGTGTTGTTTGACTGCATGTGTATGTGTGTGTGTGTGTGTGCGTGTGTGTGTGTGTGTTGTTTGACTGCATGTGTGTGTGTGTGTGTGTGTGTGTGTGTTGTTTGACTGCATGTGTATGTGTGTGCCATATGAGTGCCTAATGCCCTTAGAATTCTGTGTGTGTGCGTGTGTGTGTGTGTGTTGTTTGACTGCATGTGTGTGTGTGTGTGTGTGTGCGTGCGTGTGTGTTGTTTGACTGCATGTATATGTGTGTACCATATGAGTGCCTAATGCCCTTAGAGAAATGCTTTGTTGCTACAAAATTAGACAAGGCTTTTTGTAAAGTACTTGTTTTTCTTTTCTAAAAATTACTCTGTGTTTTTAGGTATGGCCGAATAGAAATTCTCTCTGGATTTATTAATGGACTTTTCCTGATAGTGATAGCTTTTTTTGTGTTTATGGAATCAGTGGCTAGATTGATTGATCCTCCAGAGCTAGACACAAACATGTTGACAGTAAGTCTTTTTCTTTTCCTCTTTAAGCTTCTGGTCTTACACAGCTCTTCCCTACCAAGAGCTGACCATTATGGTGTGTTGTCTCCCTCATGCTCTGTTCCATTTCCTGTGATTTTTGGTAACTCTTTACCATGGTGTATTAAATGAAAAGTTCCTTAAACAAATAAATCTAAAGTTTTAAGTCATTTTTAAGCAGGCCGTGGTGATGCATGCTTTTAATCCCAGCACTTCAGAGACAGTCAAGAAGACTCTAGCTATTTTATCGCATGTATTGTTGTAATGGTTTTGTTTTATCACTTGTTGTTAGTCTCTTATTGTACCTCATTTATATTTTATCATGTATATGTATGTGTAGAATAAAACACAGTATATGTGGGTGAATTTGGTACCATCCAATGTGCACCATTAGGTATACATTTAGGTCTTAAAACACATGCCTAACAATAAATAAAGTCTGCTGTGTTTGCATTATTACTGCAGGCTTTTACAAATTAATCCTTTTCTCAAATACTTTGGACTAATAATTAGGTTCTATTATAAAACAAACAGGTTTCTTTATGACTTAATGTTTTTCTTTCAAGGTTTTCTGTTTTTGGTTTTTGGGGGGTTTTTTGGGGGGGTTTTTTTTTTGGTTTTTGGGGGGTTTTTTGAGACAAGATTTCTCTGTATTGTTTTGGAGGCTATCCTGGAACTCACTCTGTAGACCAGTCTGACCTCAAACTCACAGAGATGCTGTGATTTAAGGCGTGCGCCACCAATGCCCAGCTCTCAAGATTGTATTTTTAATTTATACAGAATTAGAGATAAAATCAGAAAAGAATAAAAATTATACAGATTTACCAGACAGATTATATAGTTATTATAACCACTTTTGGTTCTTCCTATATCCGCCTTAACCCTTACGCATGTTGTTTCTGTAGATGGCCATGTCCCTCCTTCACTGTGCCCCTCTGTTTCCTTTAAGATGTTACTGGCATGTCTCTCCTGTTCAGTTTCTTGGGTTCTCACTCTCACTACCCCTATTATATCTTACACATACTCCTTTTAGCAACACTGACTTGGGGTTGCTGTTTAGTTAGTCACTATTCTACAACTAAGATGTATTTTTAGACCTTTAGTTAGTGATAAGGAATTATCACTAGCTCTTTAATGCTGGCACTTGAGGTGTTTTTTATTTTGTGAATGGGTGTTTTGCCCACATGTATGTCTGTATACCATGTAGCATACTTATCCAGAGAGAGCATGGGATCCCCTGGAAATGGAGTTATAAATGGTTGTGAACCACCATGTAGGTGCTAGGAATCAAACCTAGGTCTTCTGGAAGAGCAGCCAGTGCTCTTAACTGTTGAACCATCTCTCCAACCCTCTAGTACCTGACCCATAGTAGGAAAATGAACAGTTAATTCTCAGCTCAATGAAAACAGTTTGGAGGGATTTTTGGTTCAGTTGTACAGTTGAACCAAAGATGTGCCTGTCTGTCTGTTTGGAGACAGGGTCTCACTATGTAGCATGCACTACCAGAATTTCTCTATACTTTAGAGTAAATTCAAATCCGTGTGCCAGTTTTTTCTGCTATTTGAAGTTAAAATGATCCTTCCAAATTTTTTTGCTTGGGGAATTTAGTGAATTTTACTATGAAGTTTTAAACTGTAAGTATAAAAAGTATACAGCTATGTAATAACTTCTAAGTAGCAACTTTGTTTTCTAGGCTTCAAAATTAAAGCTTTTCTTTGCTCCTTTTTGCTAGCCAGTCTCCATTGGAGGGCTGATAGTAAACCTTATTGGAATCTGTGCCTTTAGCCACGCCCACAGCCATGGCCATGGGACTTCTCAAGGACACTGCCACTCATCTGATCATGGCCATTCCCACCATACTCATGGACACGGTGATCATGGTCACAGCCACGGCTTCACAGGAGGAGGCATGAACGCCAACATGAGGGGTGAGTTCTTAAGAAGTCCTGTCTCCTGAATTGATGTTCTTACTTGTTTTTATTAAATATTGGCCTTCTGGTGTCACAGCTCTAGAGGTGGTGGGACCTCAGAGAATGGAGCCAGTAATGAAGCAGACTGAAGTCTCATGCAATAGTCAACTTTATTTAGAGCATCAGACAATTTATACTCTGGTCACAAGAGTAAAGTCCCATGAGGTCAGTCAGTATACAGTCACAAGGACAAGTCACACATGGCAAAAGCATGTTTTTCCATAGAGGCACTTGTAAAGGATGAATTAAAAGATTTAATTGAATAACAACAAGCAATGATGAGTAATCTGAAGTAAACTCACTCCTATCTGCTGTACCTGGGAGAAGCACAAAAACACATCCCAAAAACAATTCCATGTTTTGAAGAAATTGAGGTCATGAAACTTTCATCTTATTTTCTTGGAATTTTCTCACAAGCACCCAGAATTGTTCTCATATGACTCCATTCATGGATCATGTTCTGAAATTCTGGTACAGTTATTACTCAGGATATTTTATTGTTTTGTTTCAAGACAGGGTTTCTCTATGTAGCCTTAGCTATCCTGGAACTTGCTCTGTAGACCAGGCTGGCCTTTGTCTCCCTCCCAAGTGCTGGGATTAAAGAAGTAAGCCACCACTGCCTGGTTTATTCAAGGTTTTTAAAAAGGAGAATGCTAAGTATGTAACTCAGTGAAGAGCACTTGCCTAGCATGCCCAGGGCTCCCAACACTAAAGGAAGAGGGAAACAGGGACTATCAAATGCAACAATGTGGATAAACCTGGAGGACAGGATACTCAGTGAACTGAGTTCATCACAGTAAGATCGTTTTCTCATAATTCTAACATATGATAGAACTCAAACTCAGCATGGAATGGTAGCTAGGGAGAACCACAAGGGTGGAATTGATCATTGGACCTAAAATTCCCATTAAAGGGAGGTGGTGGCGCACGCCTTTAATCCCAGCACTCGGGAGGCAGAGGCAGGCGGATCTCTGAGTTCAAGGCCGGGCTGGACCGACAGCCTCCAAAACAATACAGAGAAACCCGGTCTCGTAAAACCAAAAAAAAAAAAAAAAAGAGTAGTCTGAAGACCCACAATCTATGAAACCTTTTCTCTGTAGGCAACATTGATGTATTATACCATAAAAAGTAAAGAGTGTTGACCCCACAATAAGTCATTTTTAAAATGAAGGGGCTAGAGATGTATCTCAGTTTTATAGAAAGTTGCCTACCATACATACATGGCAGCACCATAAAAGCAACAAAAGAAAGGAAATATACTTGTGTATAAATGTCCATGTTTAAATAAATTGCTTTAATTATAACCTTCCATGACAAAACAAGAAATGTTTGTTGTAGTATAAAAATAATTGAATTGGCTGGGCGGTGGTGGCACACACCTTTAATCCCAGCACTCAGGAGGTAGAGGCAGACAGATCTCTATAAATTCAAGGCCAGCCTGGTCTACAGAGAGTTCTGGGACAGCCAGGACTGTTAGCAGAGAAACCCTGTCTCAAAAAACAAAAGGGGGGGGGCATATTAATCTCTTTTGGTATTGGATTGTTTATGCCAGTTAGTAATTTGGGTAATGTCAAAACTTGGCTCAAGCCAGATGGCATGGAGCACGCCTTTAATCCCAGAACTCAGCAGACAGAGGCAGGCCAGTCTCTGTGAGTTCACAGCCAGCCTGGTCTACAGAGGGCCAGGACAACCAAAGCTACACAGAGAGACCCTATCTTTTTTTGTTTTTTGAGACAGGGTTTCTCTGTATTGTTTTGGAGCCTGTCCTGGAATTCACTCGGTAGACCAGGCTGGCCTCGAACTCACAGAGATCCACCTGCCTCAGCCTCCCAAGTGCTGGGATTAAAGGCGTGCACCACCACCGCCCGGCTGAGAGACCCTATCTTTAAAAAAAAAGAAAAACTTAGTGGAGCTGGAGAGATGGCTCAGCAGTTAAAAGCACTGACTGTTCTTCCAGAGGACCAGGGTTCAATTCCCAGCACCTACATGGCAACTCACATCTGACACCCTCACATAGACAAACCAATGAATATTTAAAAAAAGAACTTAGCTCAAGGAGCAGGTACCATTACTGTAGGTGAAGGCTCTTGCTGACCCGTAATGCAAGCCTAATGGCCAAATTTTAATCCTGGAACCCATGTAAAGGTGGAAAGAAAACCAATTCCACAGAATTGCCTCTAACCACCATCCATGCCCTGAAGCATGACATCCACACATACATATCAGATACACAGTAATAAGTACATAGTTTTTGAAAGAATATTTCATTTTACTTTAAACTTTTTGTAGGAATAACTTTTAAGCACATGATCTTTTCACATACCAACTTGACTACATTATTTTTTAAAGTTCGTTTGAAAAGATTATTAAAAATGCTGAGTTTTGTTTTGGCTTTGTGTTTGGTGGGTTTTTTATGTGGGGTGGAAACAGGGTTTCTCTGTGTAGCTCTGGCTGTGCTAGAACTCATTATGTAGACCAGACTGACTTTTTTTTTTTTTTTTTTTTTTTTTTTTGGTTTTTCGAGACAGGGTTTCTCTGTATTGTTTTGGAGACTGTCCTGGAACTTGCTCTGTAGACCAGGCTGGCCTCAAACTCACAGAGATCTGCCTGCCTCTGCCTCCTAAGTGCTGGGATTAAAGGTGTGCACCATCAATGCCCGGCCAGACTGACTTTTAACTTAAGAGGTCCACCAGCTTCTACTTCCAAAGTGCTGATATTGAAGCCATGTGCCACCAATGCCTACCACTAAAAATACTCAGTTTTTAGGTAGTTAGACTTTTTTAAAGAGGAGATCTTACTGTGTAACATATGGTAGCCTTGAATATATGCATATTTTTTAAAGACGGGGTCTTACTATGTGGCTCTGACTATCCTGGAATTTTCAGAGACTGTCTTACCTTTTCTTCTTGAGTGCTGGGATTAAAGGCATGAGTCAACATGCTTGGCAATATATAAAAAAAAAAAAAAAAAAGGCAGTAGAACTCTTGCCACCACATACAAGGCCCTGAGTGCTAGGAGAAAAAAAAAAAAAACTTGCTTCAAGCATGATTTTCAGAGCGCCTTCATAGACAAAGAACACTGTATTAAGATTTAGCACCCTGTGTCATCATTGCCTGCATCCTTAAATATTCTGCACTTCTGAATTCCTTGACAGTAACCATGTTTTAGTCTCTTTGAAGGACTGGCTACTAGCAAGGTGCCTGGTACTGATAGGTATCAGCAGTACTGCTAGAGTGGGTAAAAGCTAAATTAGATGAACTTTCATTGCTTATGTCCTTAACATTTTATTTGTAGGTGTATTTCTCCATGTTTTGGCAGACACACTGGGCAGCATTGGTGTGATTGTTTCCACAGTTCTTATAGAGCAGTTTGGATGGTTTATTGCCGATCCCCTGTGTTCTCTTTTTATTGCTGTGTTAATATTTCTCAGTGTTATCCCACTGATTAAAGACGCCTGTCAAGTCTTACTTCTGAGACTACCGCCTGAATATGAAAAAGAACTACATATTGCTTTAGAAAAGGTAATGTCCTCACTACTTTATCCTTTAAAAATAGCACTTACAGTTGTATAAACTATTCTAACTATAAGCAAGATAAATTAATATAATACAGGTTAGCTTAAAGAACATGAATACAGTAGATTGGGGCTTAGTGGGTGAAGCCTGTAACTTCAGTTGCCCTGGAGAGTAAGATTAGATGATGAAAAGTTTTCTAGGGTCTTGCTCATACCTCTGGTTTACCTGGTACTCACTGTGTCACCTGGGATGGCCTCTAATTTGCAGCAGTTCTCAGGTTCACCGGTGCTAGGATTCATACCCAGCTTCTCCTGCTTTAAGTTGCTTACGTGTTCTCACATTCTCATAGTCAGTGGGTTAAGAGCACTGGCTTATCTTTCAGAGGACCCAGGATCAATTCCTAGCATCCACATGGCTGCTCCCAATAGTCTGTGTTACTCCAGTTTCAGAGGAGCCTACACCCTCTTCTGGCCTCTGAACACCATGCATACACATGGTGTACAGACACATGCAGGCAGAACACCCATATACATAAAAGAAAAACAAAAATAAATACTGTAAAAATTAAAGTAGCAGTTGGGTGTTGGTAGCACACACGCCTTTAATCCCAGCACTCGGGAGGCAGAGGCAGGCAGATCTCTGTGAGTTCAAGGCCAACCTGGTCTACACAGCATTAGTTCCAGGACAGGCTCCAAAGCAATATAGAAACTCTTGTCTTGTGGGGGAAAAAAAGCAAAAAAGATATTTGGTAAGCTTTCCCCACTTAATACCATATTGAACAAACATTTATACATCTTAATGGCAATGCACTATTATATTTATTTAGCTAGTTTTCTGTATTTTACAATTTGCCAGCCCTCTGTTGTTGAAAACTGAAGCTATCTTTGAAATGTTATCTCTGTAACAGTGTGTGTGCGCATGTTATCAGTGTAAAGGAAGCTATAGTTCAGTAATTACACTCAGGTAATGTTTAGAGTGGGCGAAATATGTTCTCTGTCTTGAACAGTTTATTACAAACTATCCTTTTTATTTCTCTGGACTCGCCATAATGGTTCCTAGGTCAAGTAATTGATATATACTTCATAAAATCATTTATACCACCTCTCCACTTATTTCAGATACAGAAAATTGAAGGATTAATATCATACCGAGACCCTCATTTTTGGCGCCATTCTGCCAATATTATAGCAGGAACAATTCATATACAGGTGACCTCTGATGTGCTGGAACAAAGAATTGTACAGCAGGTAATTTTTGTTTGTGATAATTCATTCATAAGACTCTATCCACTGTATGGCTTAGTAGTCATTCACTCTTTTAAAATATCAATCTTGCTGGACATGGTGGGGCTTGTCTTTAATTCCAGCACTCAGAGACACAGAAACAGGGAGAGCTCCAGGAGTTCTGGGCCATCCTGGGCTCCATCTCACAATTCTGTCTCCAGAAGGAAACTGTACTAACTACATTATTCTAAATTCTTGAACTTTAACAGGTTACAGGAATACTTAAAGATGCTGGCGTAAACAACTTGACAATCCAAGTGGAAAAGGAGGCATACTTTCAGCATATGTCTGGCCTGAGTACTGGGTTTCATGATGTTCTGGCTATGACAAAGCAAATGGAATCCATGAAATACTGCAAAGACGGTACTTATATCATGTGAGACGTACTCACATGGCATGAACAGTGCAGGCTGAATGACAGTTTATAATGTCAGATCAGGATGAAGATTGCAGACAATTGTACAAAACTCATAGAGCTCCCTACTGTTGGATAAAAGAGTCTTCTTAAAAGAAAATTGAAATGCAGAATGAGGCATTAATTGTACAAGAAAATTATTTGTTACTCTATTTGAATGATGTGTATAGGAATCTTAAATATAAATGAACATGATGTAATTGTGTCACATCATCTTCAGAAATGGACACATAATGATGGATTCTGGTGAAGACCAAGATTTCTCTGTGTATTTACTTTCTATCAGAAAGCATCTCCACTGTAAATATGTATTTACATGTTTATTACAAAGACCCAGATGAAGTTTTTAGTCAATTTTTTGCATATCTGAAGAACAAAATGGAATAAAATTCTATATTTATGAATTTTCTGTATATAAATCTGGTTTCTAATTATAGCTTAAGTCCATTAAGTAAAAGCTGTATTTCCACTTGAAATGTAAATTATTCAGGAGAAATTTCAACCACTGATTTGAGATAAACAATGAGAATGGAGAGCTATAGTATAGTTCTTGGTGTGTTACAAGATTTAACCACTCTGTTAAATAAATTTTTTATTTTGGTAGTATGTGCAAATGAGTAATTGATTAGGGGAAAGAGCTTACACTAAGTTGTATCATGGTACTCGATGTTACCATACACCTCCCAAGTAGAATGTTCTGTCTTGTTGGATACATCTGACATCCCAAAACACTCCTCGGGATGCTACCCAGCAGACCCTGGTTCTTCATGGTGTCACTTGCTCCTCAGTTGTGCAGCAATGACAAATAGCACCCAGTTCAGAGCTGTGTCCTCCATCTGTGGTATGACACTTATCTGGGGAAGTGTGCACATGTAAGAAATAAGACAGTGGTTGTTTTCAGGATTTAAGTGAAACTTGCACATGGCTTTTGGAACACCATGAAAGCAAAATGTCCTACAATTACTTTCTATAGTTATGTCTAGCACACTTCCATTTCTTTTCCTTTTTTATTTATTCTTCTCTCATATTACATCCCGACTGCAGTCCTCCCTTGCCCCCACCTCCCCTCTCCCCTAAATCTCATTTCCCTTCAGAAAAGAGCAGGCCTTCCCAGGGATACCAACCAAACATGGCATAACAAGTCGTAACAAGTTACAATAAGACTTACCATCTCGGGGCTGGAGAAATGGCTCAGTGGTTAAGAGCACTGACTGTTCTCCCAGAGGTTCTGAGTTCAATTCCCAGCAACCACATGGTGGCTCACAACCATCTACAATTCAATCTGGTGTCCTCTTCTGGCATGTAAGCAGAACACTATATATGTAATAAATAAATCTTTAAAAAAAAAGACTTAACTTACCATCTCCAAGGATGGACAAGGCAACCCAGTAGAAGGGTCATTTCCAGTTTATATACCCTAAGGAACATTGTGACAAATATGTACACTTTATGACCACCACAGACAGTTGTCCAGTGCAAACTTCTATGAATATTTTCATTACAGTAGGGGTTTTGATAGATAGGATGATTTAGAATAGGTACTATTTTCCTATCATGATGCTAGACATCAAATACTAGTTTATCGTACCACTTTTAATATATGAGGAGTTTTAGAAATTTGTATTTGTATTTGGTATTCTGCTCTTTGCACATTTTGGTCCAGAATTTTCAGCACATATTAAAATCTTAAGTGGTGGAGCTGGAGAGATGTCTCAGCATTTAAGAATACTAGCTGTTCTTCCAAAGGACCTGGTACATACAATACCTATCCTACACAATAGCTCACATCCTTCTCTAACTATAGTCCCAGGGGGTCCAGTACCCTCTTTTGTTCTTTGGGACACTGTATGCATTTAATATACTGGTATATGTGCTAGCCAAGCTTCCACACTTGTAAAGACAGATAGGTAGGTAGGTAGATAAGATAGGTTGTTTTGTATTTTTCAAAACAGGATTTCTTTGTGTAGCACCGGATGGCATGGAACTCAGATCCTCAGAAGCAGCCTACCTCTGCCTCCAAAGGGCTGGGATTAAAGGCATGTACCACCACCACCACCCAGCAAAAAAATAATTCTTTGAATTAATGAAGTCTTGAGTAATGAGAAAAACAATTGCATGTTAATATTTTTGTTTTTGGCTTATGACTAATGCTTTACTATTTTTCCCCAACATTTTTATTAATATTTGGGAATTTCGTACAGTGTACCCAATGACACTCACTTCCCATTCCTCCCAGGTCCATCTTTCCATCCTTGTACTGACCGCCAAAAAAACACACCAAGTCCAATTTGTGCTGTGCATATACTATTCATTGGAGCATGGTCAAACTTCCAGTGGCCTGCCCCTTAAAGATGACTGAGTCCTCCCCACCCCCACCTCCCTGCCAGAAGCCATCAACTGTGGAGAATGCACTTCAGCATCTTTATCCCAGTTCTTAAGGCTCTTCAATAGCTGCCTGTCTGGCCTTTCTTTTTGCAGGGGGAAGGGTTGGCACAGAAGCCTTCAGTGTCTCTCATTCTTAGTTTTGAGTTTGCAGTCACGGATACCACGGCAAAAGAAGCTTCCTTGCCCATAGCAGCTGGCAGCAGCCCAGATCATGGAACCGTCACGTGGTTTCTGGCATCAGCTAGAAGCGCATGGCCACATAGATCACAGGCATCGGCATGTTAATATTTTAATGCAGATTGTATTCATAAGAGCATTTCAGCAGATGAGGAGGTGTGGTAGATGCCACACCAGTGTTAAAGTTTTCGTTTCCCTTAAAAGGCATATAAACCGCAAGAGATCTTGAATTAGTGTGACTGGGAACAGGAAGCTGATAGAGGGCTGACGGGGTAGGGAGACTCTGGAGCCGAATGCTGCTGCTCATGACTTCAGGCTGATCGGCCTCTGGGTATCATTTTTATCCCTCATTGGTAAAGTCAGTAAAAGAACACAAGAAATAATGCATGCAGAAATAATGGAAAGCTGAAAAAGAATAAAGCTGAGGAATCCAAGACAGTCTCCCCATCTTTAAGTGTTCCAAGTCCCATTTGCCATGTAAGGGAGACTATTCCTAGATTCCAAGTGTTAGGGTATGAGGGCTATTCTTTGTCATCAATTTGACTACATCTGGAATTACCTAGCCCAAATGGCTTGGCACACAGCTGTGAAGGGATTTTTTTTCCTTAATTCCTTTGGCGTGGGAAGACCACTTATAACCCAGATGGCTGCGGTGGGAAGAGCCACCTGTAAGCTGGGCCACACCTGCGGAAGCCTGTGTGAAGGACTTGGAAGAAGGTAGCTTCACCCTTTGCCTGCCTGCTCTCCCTGGCAAGTGCATCTCTCCACCAGCTGAGCGCCTACTTCAGCACCCCAAAGTCCACTGAAGACTAGCTGTGCTGGTTTGCTCATTTAAACCCCGCCCCCACAGCTGTGACAGTCCAGCCTTGTTGACTGAACAACTGGATTCTTGGCCTGTCTATTCATAGCCAGTCATTCTAATGAATCCCCTTCTATATAGAGAGAGATTCATTTTCTGAGTTCTGTTACTCAAAAGAACCCTTACTAGTAGAGATTTGGGGACCAGAAGTGGGTTGGTTCTAGAGCAACAGAAGTGTAAAGATAAATCTTTTAAGTGTCTGGAATAGGCTTTTCAGTTCACCATCAACTACAGTTACTGAAGCCTCTCCTGGGAGCTGGGAGAGTGCTAAAAGCCTGTGGTGTGAACTATATTACTAACTCAAGGAGATAATAGCATGTGATTTTTCTGATTTACCAATTGCGAGCGGCAATGGATTTAGTGGCTCTGCATATGAAACTTGACATTTTGTGGAAAAATATGGAAAATGATGATCCTGGGTGGTTACTCTAAGCATCTCTGGACAAACTGACAATGGGTTGGGATGAGCTCTGAGATAAAATTAAGCAATTTCCAGCATCTGGTAATATGGTGAAGGACAATGATGACGTAGTGATAAAATTGCTCCAAAGCTGGGCACTAGTGGTGCACACCTTTAATCCCAGCACTCGAGGCACAGCAGGCCGATCTCTATGAGTTCCAGGCCAGCCTGGTCTACATAGAGTTAGTTCTGTGACAGCTAGCTATGTTACGTAGAGAAAACCTGTCTCAAAAAGAAGAAGAAGAAAAAAAAAAAAAGGCTCAAGGTGCACATAAACAGTCTACAGGTTTCCATGTGTGCCCTGGAAAAGACTTTCCAGCACCCACAGAGGTCAAGTTGCAGAAAATAACCAAAGCCCTCATTAGAAGGTTGGCTGAGCCGGGCGTTGGTGGTGCACGCCTTTAGTCCCAGCACTCGGGAGGCAGAGGCAGGCGGATCTCTGTGAGTTCGAGGCCAGCCTGGTCTACAGAGTGAGTTCCAGGACAGCCTCCAAAGCCACAGAGAAACCTTGTCTCTAAAAACCAAAAAAAAAAAAAAAAAAAAAAAAAAAAAGAAGGTTGGCTGAATTACAGTGAAAAGTCCCAGCCTGGAGGGTGTCAGCCATTAGTAAGGGTCTTAATTGGTAAAGAACAGGATCCTGTAACTTGGGATGAAATGTGTGGGAGGGCCCTATTGACACTGAGAACTTTGAATCTGAAGACTCTCAAGGCTTTGTCTCACCTGAAGTAGTCAATCCACCCTCAGCTCCACCCACATCTTTGAGAGGGTAGGGTCGGTACTGTAGGAGTTTGGAGGCCAGATTGAGATATCGCCTGGAGGCCCAGATGTCCTCAGTGATTGAGAGGTACGTCTTGGTGTATATGGTCGTGATTGATATCCCTGTCATGATGCTATCAGTATGTTGAGGGCCTGTATTCTAGGAGATCCCAGTCATAACAAAAGGCTAAGTAAGACAGGGTCAAAGACACTTGGCAGATTTAAAACAAGAGTCTATGTTTAAGAGCAAAACAGGCAGTGGCCAGAAATGCCACCATAGGTCGATTTCAAGACTAGTAAGTATGACAGTAATGACTGGAAAAGGAACATCCACTCAGTGTAGGGCCCAGCAATGTTAGAGTAAGGGAATAAGCATGGGGTTCATAACTCAAAGTAAGTAAGTATCCCAGACTGGCTACTTACTGGGGGAGATATTTAAAAATAGGCTACACCACAGTTTCATTAAAATGCAAGAGATAGAAGAAAGAATCACAGGTCTCCAAGAGAATCACAAAAGGACATTTGAGCTTTGGGTGTGGAACTCTTAACTCTGGACAGGTGACCCCATGATGGCAACGTGCTTCTTTGCATCTTTTTGTTGTTGTTGTTGTTTGTTTTTGTTTTTTTCGAGACAGGGTTTCTCTGTGGCTTTGGAGGCTGTCCTGGAACTCGCTTGGTAGTCCAGGCTGGTCTCAAACTCACAGAGATCCGCCTGCCTCTGCCTCCCGAGTGCTGGGATTAAAGGCGTGCGCCACCAACGCCCGGCTGCTTCTTTGCATCTTGACCAAGTGGTTTGATAAGGCCTGATCCAGACAGTATCCAATGTCATTTTGGCCTGTGGGAAGATTTTACAAAAGACTCAATCTCCTGGGTTATATAAAGAGGTGACCTTGAAAAGGTATATCCCCAGCAGGTGGATCTCTGTAAGTTCAAGACCAGCCTGGTCTACAAGAGCTAGTTCCAGGA